TCATGCTAAGTGAAATGAGTTAGAAGGAGAAGGACAGACAGAATGAATGTGTTTATATGTGGGAAAGAAAAAAGATATAGTAGAAGACTAATATCGGAGACCAGTGAACTGGTCAATGGTTGGAATCTACCACAAGTGTCTTGGATAATAATGTACACTGGTGGAGGTATGGGTGTTGGAATACTGTATGACTGAAATCCAATCATGAACAGCTTTTGAGGGGCCTTTTATCTTACAGTGATCTAATAAAGAAAATCTTAATGGAGGCAGGGAAAGGGAAAGACCATCCTTTACCATTCTATCAGTAGAACTAGCAATACTCCAAGCAATACTAAAAATCCAGAAGATTTTTATTAAATAAATGAGGGTCATGAAGAAAGTACTGGATCGAGCACAAGCTTTGCATGAACAAGACCTGGATTGGATCTCAGGAACATGCCTAAAGCCCCCAGCATCGCCAAAACGGCTCTGCTCATCAAGCTCTGAGACAAAGAGCGACAGAGAGAAGAGAGAGCGAGTGAGCATGGAGGCCTGAGCATTCCAACATGCGACTGGAGGTCCCTGGTCCACCGAGCACTGTTTGGGCAACCCAACAAATAAGCTATAAATAAATAAATAAATAAATAAATATTGCAACACCAACTATAAAATATTGAAAACAAACCATAAAGTAAAGTAAGTAAAGGCCCTCCCGTTGATCATCGATTTGCTCGAGCGAACCCAGTAACGTATCCATTGGAGACTTTGTTGTTACTGTGTTTGGCATATCGAATACGTCACAGGGAGCTTGCCAGGCTCTGCCGTGCGGGCAAGATACTCTCGGTAGCTTGCCGGGCTCTCCGAGAGGGGCGGAAAACAAACCATACATTATGATATCACCTAATGATGAGAGTATACTGTACCTCCTTAAAGAGATTAAGTGATACAAAGTGAAACTTATTTTAAACATTTTAAACATCATTTTTTGTCTAGGTTTATTTGTTTCTTTGTTTTTGGGCCACACACTGCTACTTGTGGCTTATTCCTGACTCTGGCTCAGAGATCACTCTGGGTGGGCTGGGAGTACCTTATGGGTGCTGGGGGCTGAAACTAAGGAGGCTGACTGGAAGGCAGACGCTGGACCTGCTGTATTATTGCTTAAATACTAAACATGCATCTATATACATTCCTTTCAAAGTTAATAGACATAATTCACATTCAGTGGTGCCGGACCAGCTGACAGTCGAAGGGTTGAAAGGGAAGGTGGGGATCAAGAAACTATATACAAATGGTTGAGAGGGCTGAGTTCTCATGGAACAGCAGCATTAATCTTTATTTCAGACAGCCTTTTATACATCTCTATAAGGAACTTGGCAGGTAAAATCATCCATTGTAATTGAAAAAAAAAACATATTCCCAAGATCATACATTTCTTTGATCATAACAGGTATAGGAAACATAATATAATGAAAACAATATTACTTAGATCAGTAATGGGAAATAAGAACAAGGTAGAAATAACAGCAAAGTATACTGAAGAAGAACCTCAATACATCAGGATCCTCCGTGAGCTATACTATGGATTCACTACCAGGATCTCACCATTCTACAAAGAAGTGATCATCGATGTCAAGAGAGGGGTTCGGCAGGGTCATACCATTTCACCAAAATTCTTCAGTGCCACCCTCGAGAACATCATGCGATGACTGGAATGGGGAGGAATGGGAGTGAAGATAGATGGTTGGCAACTACACCACCTATGCTTTGCTGATGACATTGTTTTAATAACACCAAACATTAGCCAAGTGGCACAAATGCTGGCCGACTTCGAGCATGAGTGTGGAAAGGTCGGACTACAGCTGAATCTCACAAAGACAATGTTTATGAGGAACAGTCTCGTTCCTGACATTCCATTCGCTCTCAACAGAATGACCATCTCCAAATGCAACAGTTATGTGTACCTAGGTTGAGAAGTCAACATGACGAATGACCTGGCACCTGAGTTATGCAGGAGGAAGAGAGCGGCTTGAAACGCCTTCAAGAGCGTGGAAGAAATAGCTAAGAGGACGAAGAACCTCTGGCTCCTGCCACATCTCTTCGATTCCACTGTTTTTCCTGCATTAACATACGCCTCAGAGACCTGGGCCCTACAAAAACAGGACAAGAACACTATTTGGGTCTCCCAAAGAGGAATCAAAAGAGCTGTGCTTGGAGTGTCACGTTTCACTCAAATGAGAGAAAGAATCCGGAGTTCCAACCTCCATTGACGATCAAGAATCAGGGATGCTGTCTCATTTTCCAAGGCATCGAAAATCAGATGGGCTGGACACGTAATGAGATTTGAAGACAACCGCTGGACTAGAGCTGTTACCGACTGGATTCCACGGGATGTCAAAAGATCGCGTGGCCGCCCACCTACCAGATGGTCAGACTTCTTCATCAAGATCCTGAATGATCGGTTTGAGGCTCTTTGTGTTCCTAGAACAAACAGACGCCATTGGGCTACACTAGCACACGGCAGGGATGAATGAAAACGTTACTGGTGCCCACTCGAGCAAATCGATGATTAACGGGAAGTCAAGTGATCAAGTGATCATACTGAAGAACACTCTGACCCTTCCTGTGTATTTTCCATGATTTACCAAGGTGTTATTTCCTGCATATGTCACAAATTCACAATGCATCCATTTCTTATTAACTTCTCTTGCAAACTGAGGATGATGTAGTATTGACTTCTCTATAGGCTTGAGTTAGCAACATAATAGCTACTCCATGTATTATAGGTAGTGGAACAGAGAGCTATTACAAGTACACTTGGCCCTCTGAGTGAGGCAGCTCCCAGAGCTAGGTCCACGTAAGGACCCTGCATAAACAGGCAACTCCCCACACGATGGCTTGATAATTAGAACAGATATTGAAATACTAAGGCTCTGATATCTAAGGCTTGCTTTCGGAAATTTCCCTCCAAGTTAGTCATTTTGAGGATCCATTTTTCACTTGCTTTCCAGAAAAATGAATATTTTCACGGGTGCCTGAGAAATACCCATGATTGCCTTGATTCACAATACCTCCAAGATAGCAATTATTCCCTGGAAGTCGTTTAGCTTATCCTTTATCTGCAAATATCATAGACAATGTAAACCATATGTGCGATTTAATTTTTTCCAAAATATTCTCATCTCAACGTGTATTCAAATAAAATGAACCATTCTTTTTTCATATCTTTGGAATCCAGTGCCCATGTTACAATTAGTGCATAGTGCACTTCTATGCACAGATGTGCTAGTGGCTGTTTTACTTCTCCAAATCCAACTGTACTTTCTGCTCTATTACTGTTGGTAATACTGTTATACCAACAGTAATATTGTTGGTTCACCTAGCAGGAAGAGAACTGCCATCATTGGGGAGATTTTAGCCTTCACCTCCTTCTCCTCCTCCTCGTCCTCCTACCCCCCCTCGAGACTTTTACTTTTAACATTTAAGGTAGCACTGTCCTCCCCTTGTTCATCTCTTTGCTCCAGTGGGCACCAGTAACGTCTCCAATGTGAGACTTGTTAGTTTTTGGCACATTGATTATGCCACAGGGAGATTGCCAGGCTCTGCCCTGTGGGGGGGTGGGGGGGGATACTCTCGGTAGCTTGCTGGGCTCTCTGAGAGCAACAGAAGAATCAAACCAGGTTCGCTGCATGCAAGGCAAACGCCCTATCCACTGTGCTATCACTCCAGCCCTAATGTTTATTATGATAAAATAATTCCATATATGTGATATTTAGATGTACCATTTAATATTTTAAAAAATCTCAAATCGGGCAGTTTCTTCGATGTTCCTTTAATCCTGACCACAATGTTGCCTATTCTGAGTTAATAGCAGAATAATAAAAGTAGTTTTCTATGAAGGGCTTTTAAATTTTTTATTTATCTGTAGCACTGTAGCACTGTCTTCCCATTGTTCAACAATTTGCTCCAGCCGGCACCAGTACGGGGCTCCATTGTGAGACTTCCTGTTACTGTTTTTGGCATATTGAATATGCCAAGGGGAGTTTGCCAGGCTCTGCAGTGCAGGCGGGATACTCTCGATAGCTTGCCAGGCTCTCGGAGAGAGACAAATGAATTGAGCCTGGGACAGCGGCCTGCAAGGTAAACGCCCTACCCGCTGTGTTATATATTTAATATATATTTAAATTTATTATTTAAAAAAATTTAGGCACAGTGATTTTCAGTTTTGTCCATGCTACGTTTTCATATCCCAGAGCATTTCAGGAAAAGTTCTAGAAACCTGATCAGAGCTGCTGCAGGACTGAGTTGGAGGAGGGAGGAGTTGGAGGAGGACGAGAATGACTGTGCAGGCGGGGAGAGACGTTCTAAAACGCTAAGACCTACTATGTGCAGGAAGACCAACCTATCCGTAGGCCAATCTTAGCGCACACCGCGTCTTCCCCAGTTCCTGGAGGGTTCTGAGCCCCCTGCTGCCCGGTGCTCACTACCCGGGTGGAGTGAGCGTGCCCTAGCCGCCTGCCAGGTCCCCTTTGCTGCAAAGAGCAGACCCCGGACCCTCGGCTCTGCGACAGAAGCCAAGCAGGCCTGCTGTGGCCGCCCTAACGCAGGGCCCTGTCCCCGCCAGTCCCCGCGGTTGAAAGGCCAGGCTAAGTGCGGAGACACCGGCCACCACTCGGAGGCGCTTGTCCGGCTGCCCGTGGGAGTCCACCGGCCGGGCCGAGCCGGGACTGTCTGCACCTATCCCACCCCCGCAGCCCCGCGCGCGGCCCGGCCCCAGGCCAGCGGCTCGTCACCCTCGGGCCAATCAGCGACGGGTTTCTTCCAGCCAACCAATCACTGCGGCGTCCTCTCCGGCTCTTCGGCTCTTCGGCTCTTCGGCTCTTCGGCTCTTCGGGCCTTTCGGCTCGTCGGCGTTCCCGGTTCCGGGACTCTCCCGAGGCCACTTTGGCCACAGCGTGGTTCTCATTGGTTGAAACTCGCCCCGGTTGTAGCCACTTCCGGGTCTTTGCGTCGCTCCGGAAGCCCGCGAGTTCCGGAAACCTGGGGCGAGCAAGTGGAGCTCGGAAAAGCCTCTGCTTCCCGGGAAGTGTTTCCGGAAAAGTTGCACGGAGCTCGGGCGTTTCGCACCCTGGTCAGGTCAGTGTCTGCGGGGCAGAGCCGTCCTGCAAGTCCGAGGTCGTTGAATGCCGCGGGGAGGGCGTGGTGTTGCACGACCTTGGAACTGGCTCCTTGGCTCCACTTGCCCTGGTTTTTGGCCTTCTCTCCCCAAAAATTAAAAGAAAAAAAAAACAACAAAACAAGCAACCAAACAACAACAACAACAAATTTCGTAATTTCGGCAAAGGCAATGAAGAAAACCTGCAATATTGATAGTAATATTACGACCGCGCCTCTTAGAACATTAGACTTAAGCTGCTTTTTTTTTCCTTTTTTTTTTTTTTTGGCATTCCACAAAGTAACTTTGCTGAGACAACTTTAGTTTTCCCCCACCGCATGTTGTGCTGCTGAGAGCTATGTATGAATGACTTTATCAGGAATCATTCGAATCCAAATTAACAATAGCTCCTGTTGCATGCAAAGTGTTGACCTGCTTCGGGGGGAAAAAAAAGTCATGATTAAGTTACATTTTTTTCCTAAACTTATGATTTTTCTTACAGTGGAAGCACTATAGAGAAATTTAAAATTGGAACGTTTGTTAACTTCGATTTTTGGCAAGAAATATGAGAATGAGTATCATTAGTATTACCCTGGTGGTACCTTAAATTGAAACACTGAATTTATTTATGTAGTTCTTTTGCAAAAACAAAAACGTAACAGTGAAAAGACTTTTCACAGGAGACTAAGTTGTTGAATGTTGAAGTCTAATATAGTCTAGTATTCTGTAATCTTGCGGTTTCTTTTTATCTTGACATTTTAAAGTAATGACTGTAAGACTGAGATTCTATGCCTAATTTGTTGTTTAAGCAGTTTTCCCTAATGGCTTGCCTTTAGAACAGAACTGAACAGAAATAAACTTGTAATGACTGACTTTTTGTTTTTCTACATTTCCTCTCTGACCATGCCCACATTATCAGTTATTTGTATAGAGAAATTAAAATTGGAGTTGAATGACCTTGAGCCAGAAGGGATATGAAGGAAGATAGTGGAATTATGTGCAGAATCAAAAGAGAAATGTATTTCTTTAAAAAAAAATTAATTGAAGTAATGGATCAGAGAATGCTTGACTAACTCAAGAGACTTGATGTCTGACTCAGGTTTACCATTGATCAGCTTTGTAAAGGTCCTTCTGCTCTTAGGAGTAGCAACCAATCTGTGATTTTAAAACTGTTCTCTCAGAAAAACTCCTGTAGAAAATTATTAGCGTCATAGAGAGGACACAAAATAAGTCACTACTAAGAAGTATTTTTAAAGAGCGGCTACTTTATGGCCTCTGCATCAAAAACAAGATTCTGGTCAAGAAAAAATTAAATTCATATCTCAGACTTGATGTTTTTCCACTAGCACTCAAATTATGTTTTGATACTCGTTTGTATTCAGTGTATGCTTATTTGATTGCTAGTTTTTTTTTTATAATGAGATATCTTCAAGTTAATGCATTATTAAAAGCCATAAATATGCTTGTATTCTATCTCACTTGTTCAATAGATACAAATGTAATTCTTCTTTTTAAGAAAACTAATTGTACTTACTCCTGGCTCTGCTAGGGATCTAATCATATGAGGTGAAGGGGATTGAACCCAGGTCTGCTGCTTGTAAGGCAAAGCTCCTATCCTCCACATTATCTCTCCAGCCCTTTGTTTCTTTTCTTCTTTTTTTTTTTTTTCAACATCTGAAGAACTGGATGACAATCTGGTTGTTTTTGAATGAATTTGAATGAAAAGGTTTTACTTTAAGCAATGTAGGATGGAATTCAATCCAAATTTAACAAATACCCTCTTTTAAAAACTTGCTTTTTGTATTTTTTAGTTTTACTAATGTTTACCAGAAATTTCCTAATTGTCAATTTGGCTTTAATATGAAGCCTTCATTTTTGTCTTCTAAAAACAGATAATAGTAAACTATTGTACACAATGTGTCACAGAGTAGTTCTTCCTTCTCCTTTGATTATATCTTTGTTTTTTTAAGGCTCATCCACAGTCTCTCCAGTGTCCAAAACTCTACAATTAAATGTGTATTCTAATAATTTCCAAGTAATTAGAATTTCCAGGCCATTAGATCCTAAAACCATTTTCTAATATAAGTGCTTAAAGACTTAGTGGCTTCATGGGACTCAGGTTTGTTCATATTGGATTGACTTTTTTTTGTTGTTGTTATAGTGCATATCTGTATCTGTAGTTTCTTAGCATGTAGACTCTGAAAATAGTTTCACCTTCGTCCTGTGTTGCTGAAATGTTCGTTTCCCTTTTAGGCCCATCACCTTGTCAGTATTGGACCATGGCTCTGCTACTTCTAGCTGTGCGATTTCCTAAAGTTGACTACTCTGCACTTAAATTTACTGGTTTTAAAACAAATGATAAACCACATCTTTCCTAATCTTGTAAGGGTTTGTTAAGTTTCCAAAGGGCACTTTAGCTCCTGTCCTGTCGTTCCTATTCACACTTCCAAGTTGTTAGTGGTATTTATCAGGGCTTCCTTAGTTTTTTGTTTTGTTTTGTTTTTTTTAAAGAGGCATCTTTCTATTTCCATCTTACATTCTGATTTTTTTTTTTTACTTTCCAAGACATCTGTATTACTCTCCCATCTTCCAAAGCTATGTTCAATATTATTTTGGGAGTTGGGAGTGGTTATTTTAATTTTTTCTTCCTCTACCATGGTCCTTTAGGAAATTCCTACAAGGATTCAGGATGGGGAGTTTTTTTTTTTAGTTGAATATATTTATTTATATAATATTTTTATTGGCAATGATGTAGTATGGTAAAATTACTTGTCTCAGTCACATGGCTTACTGGTGAACCTGGGCTAGAATACATAGCTAATCAGAACCAGTTTTTAAAATTCATTTTTAGATTTTAAGAGAAAACAATCCAGAAATTCAAGAAAAGGTGTGGTGGGACTTACACATAGATCAGAAGACTAATTTACATGGAAAATAAAGTTGTCTTAATTAAGTGTGCTTTCTTAAAAGACTGTGAGGTATCAGTTTTCTGAAAGAAGGTACAAGTTTCATGTTGTTCTCTCAAACATATGTTTGTGAAACTATGCCCAAATATTGGAAATTCTGTTTTAAGTTATTCTATAAATATTTTGTTTCAGTTTTTAGTTACTTGAATAAAATTACCATGAATGATATATGGAACTTACTTGTATAAAACTAATAGTTTTGAAGACTGTCGTATGTGAGTTGTTATCTTCTCCAAACTCAAAAACGAAACAAGAGACAAGTAGATTACTTAGTATTGCCACCCTTTTTTTTTCCAGTCGTATATGCTATTTTGAAATTTTCATATATTTGTAAAAGGCCAAATCCCAAAAGAAAATTTCTATTTGGATTTGGATGAACATCGAATTGAATACAATAGTAATTTAGAGATGTAATGTCCAAAACCCAGCTTACATTTTTTCCTATAATATCTTACAATCAGAAAAAGTTTTGTCTAGGGTTTGTTTTTGGTTTTTTTCCATAAACTATGAGAGCTAGGTACTGTGTGATTAAAGAGAGTGACAAAAGAGTAATGGCAGGTCACTTAGCAAATGTGTGGCAGAATTGGGATTTGAACTTAGGGTTGTTGATTTCTAGACCTGTTCGCAGTGCCAGAGGTCACAGTGTTCTAATGGGTCTCAGCCATAGCTTTTTCTCTTTTGCTCATGTTGGAAATGTGTTCTGGGAATCAGCGTCCTGTTAAATCCCTCTTTGATGCATGTCCCATTTATTAGTATTGATTTCAATACAATGGACAGTAAATCTATCTGACTACACAAAAGAAATAAAATAGTAGGGTGTCGGTTCAAAGTTTAACCTCTGGTGCTGGAACTTTATTCACAGAGCCTCATAGTATGAAGTGGTAGTTTAAAATTTGTATAAACCTAAAATACAAAAGTGAACGTGTGGTTTTATTATTAACATGCCTTGTTATGTTGTAGCAGTACCAGCGTCATACTAAATATTGGTTGACTTGTGGATCTGGCAAAAATAGCCTGGTAGCAGTGGTGAATGGCTTGCTAACTATAGGTATTACGTGGAAATCACGTGTTTTTGCTGACAAAATTTACATGACTATAAATTTATATGTAGAATTTTTGTCGGAAGCATGCATTGACAAATATGCCTAATGGTAATTCATCCAGTTTGTACTGAGATTCTCAGAACAGGTCAATAATAATGTGTATATTGATAGCAGCAATGTGGGAGATGTTACTTGGTATTATAGTTAAAAATCCATGTTATCCCCTTAGTCATAATTACATTAATATTGACATACCCTTGACAGTATTCAACGTGATTATTGATAGATTTTTGTCAATAACATGTTTTCAAATAAAATATATTCATTCATAATTTGTACTATGCTCAATGAAATCCCTAGAATGCAGCTTTAAGAATACTTTAGTGAGATGCAGTTGGTTTGAGTTATGGAATATGGTACAAATGACAGTTTTCTTTTGGGATTGAAAAGCATAAGAGGAAAGCTTGAGTTGCTTTCGGTCATACTAAGGTTACAGATTAATACTCTTGGTGCATGAACAAATTTTCAGTTTTCGGTAAAAGAAGAGTGTGGTATGTCTGATGATAATGCATCTACAGGAGACCTTTTTAATAGTTTTAGTTCTAGATTCTTTTGTCTTAAACATACTTGTTGATATGTCAATCACATTAAATTTAGTAAATGCTCTGCATTTTAATCTTATCTTGATTTTGCCATAAGCATCTTTTTAACGTGTCCTTGATACCATACCCATCCTTCATTAAACATTTAATGCCAGCTTTCTTTTTTATTGAATCACCGTGAGATACACATTCACAAAGCTGTTGTTCCTGGTTGGGTTTCAGTCATATAATGTTCACCCATCCCTTCACTAGCGTATATTTCCCACCACCAGTGTTCCCAGTTTCCTTCCTGGCATCCCCTCTCCTACCCCACCTGCCTCTGTGGCAGGCACTTTTTCTTTCTTTCTTTCTTTCTTTCCTTCCTTCCTTC